AATTCTGAAGACCAGAGGCTGCAATCCTACGATGCCACAGGGTCACATTACAGAAGCAAGGGAGAAAGGCCGGGATGCCATCCCATGCCGTGCTGAAAAAGAATGAAGGGGAGACGACGGCTCTCCCTTGCAGCCATGAGGACGGCAGCACAGGCGACACAGGTAAGCAGACTGAAAGTAGCTTCGGAGGGGCGTTCTTCTGCCCCTCCAGCTGTAGGCTGATGAGGTCACAACCCTGTCTTGTCAGGACTGCAATGTCGTCCTGTGCACCAAGCGAACAGGGAACTGGATCTGGCTTACGGGAGCTTCAGGCAGACTCCCATGTAGGCTGGAAATGATGGACTTGGGGCATTTAGCACATAGAAGCTGGGTGTCCTGCTTCTAAGCCCTGGGGGGACAAAGGGGCCTCTAGGGAGTGAGTAGAGGCTCTCCAGGCCAGACAGTCTAACGATGCCGCCTCACCTTGCTGTTCCCATTTGGAGAGGAAATCTACATTCTCTCCCTCCTACCCCTGGCTGTGATGAACTAGAGTTCACACCTCTGCCTTGGTGGTGATAATTAAATATTATCCGCCTGTCACTTGGCACACATGTTGTGTGTATTCTCAGACTTTAATGAGCTGGTATTTGTCTCCTGTAAGCAAAAATATTTCTTTGAGTCTCTCTTTTTTTTTTCAGATTGGGGTGAGTGGTTCAAGGGAAGAGCTCTTGCTTTTAAAATGACAGTCTCTGGCCAGCATTTCCGTGGACGGTCTCCACTGTTTTGGTTTTCTTTTCTTTTGGCAGGGACAATGACACTCAAAGTTTGTCCCTTCTGAAGTGGCCATTGCCTTCTGTTATGTGAGCAGCCACATGGCTGGAGAGTATTGTAGCAAGTGATGAGAACTCAGAGGTATGGGGTCACCATGTATGTTGTTGTGGGGACACTGTAAGGTGACCTTTTCTGACAGGGTTTCTCAGCTAACTACCAAAGAAATTTTCCCCAGATCTCCAAAAGAAGCAGTTTTATCTAGGCGCATTGAAAGAGAAATTAAGACGTTCTACAAAATGAATGTTTTAGGACAGTGGATCTCAAAGGAAATCTACATCCGCGCCACCTGGAGATTTACTAGACTTTCAAATTCTTGTACCCTTCTAGAGACTCATGAGCTCAGAAACTCAGTGATGGGGTCAGGTCTTAGTCGCCAAGGTTTAATCAAATCCTTTAGGTCCTTTCCGAGCTACTAGGGAATAGGAAGAGAGTACAACGGATTCAATTCAACCCCGGCTGATGAAGTCAGTAAAGAACTTCAAATACCTCTACCAGCGTTTGCGTTTGTAACTATCTCTACCAGTGTTTGCGTTTGTAACTATCTCAGCCTCAGTTTATTTATTATTTATTTATTTTTTTTGGTTTTTCGAGACAGGTTTTCTCTGTGGCTTTGGAGCCTGTCCTTGGAACTAGCTCTGTAGACCAGGCTGGTCTCGAACTCACAGAGATCCGCCTGCCTCTGCCTCCCCAGTGCTGGGATTAAAGGCGTGTGCCACCATCGCCCGGCTCAGCCTCAGTTTAGAATTAAAAAAAAAAACATCACTTTAAACTGAGGATCTCCTCCACCCCCCACCCCCAATGTTTAGTGATGGGAATGACTGGCCCTTTCCAGTTCCCTCTGGAAGAACGCTCTATTATCTCCCCCATTCATGAGATTTATGACAAGTGTGTTGTTTGCAGCTGCTCCCTGAGCTGGCACTCATGTTTTGCTTGGATGCCTCTCTGACCCAATGCCAGGTTCCTAAAGCACACAGTCCTTTCTGAGGACTCCCAGCACAGGAGAGAACCAGGTACTCCAGAGGCAGGAGAGCCAGGGGCACCCACCCCTGAAACGTACGTAGAGAGAAACGGTGAGCTCACTGCCCCTGGGTCTGGGGTTGGTGAGAGGAACTTTAATATTTACCAATAAACAGCAAAGTGCTTAGCACACCTCCTAGGGAAGTAATTAACCATAGAAAGAACACCCTGCGCCGAGGCATCTCCTCCAAAAAAAGAACTCACTTAATTGTGAATTGCTTACGTCAGGTGAGAGAGAACCGGTGTCTACCGCCCTCACCTGACATAAGCAACTCTGAACTAACTGGGAGTTTCTTTTTATAAACACAGTGCAGAGACTTTCTTCTTGGTGGTAATTACTTCCTCGGGAGGTTGCGTTAATAGTTCCCATAAGAAGACCATTATTGTCTTTAGCATAATCACTGCCTCATTTGCTTTTGTCCTAGCCTTTCCAGTACGTGGGCTCTGCCTCTTCAAGGGATCCTGAGTTGTGCCTATCAAGCAAGCCCTTCAGCCTGGGGATCAGGTACCTCAGGTGGGGAACCAGGATCAAGGTGAAGCTGACAGAGAGGGAGGCAGATGGCGCAGGGCCTGTTGGGGACCTAGACCGCCCAGGAACCTCTTCTCTTCTGTGTTCCGCTTTCCAGCAATTTGCTATGCTTTTAGCTGCTGACACCCCAACAGGGAAGGGAGTCAGGGAAGCGGCTCTTTTGAGGAGGCAGAAGGAGCTGATCTATGAGCAGCCTCGGTGCTCGGTGAAATCACCAGGGAGGCAGAAGCAAAAAAGTCATTGGATTTCAACTCTCAAAAAATGCCTCTCGCCATGACGCCTCACCTTGGTTAAAAAAAAAAAAAAAAAAAAAAAAAAAAGACCGAAAGGGAGTGGCTTCTATTCGGGTTTTGTTTCAGGAGAGAGAAAATGAGCGAAGGACAGTGCCACAGAGGCGTCTGCCCTGTGGAATTCTTTGATCAGGAGCTTGTATCAGTGTAAGTATGTCTGTTTGTTCACAAATTATCTATGTACACATAGGCAAGCATGATGGAAATCACCAGACATCCATTAAGAGGATGAAGAAAAAGCAGAAATTGGATGTCTAATATTCTCCTTTGTTTCTCACCAGGTTGCACCCTACTTTGGACACCCGCAGCTGACTCCAGTGGCCATGAAACAGGTGGCTTTGATGTTGGAGGATGCGGCACGCATACTCTGTGATTGTCACAGTGGGATCGTAAACTCCCCTGGTAGGTCAGATAGCTGCACTTGGAGATCCTTCCACCCCTGAAACAACTTCATGTGAACTCACCCTGCCTGTGAGTCTTTTGGGGTGGGGAAGGCCACATACCTACAATGATGATATGGATAATACATGGTATTTGAGCTTAGGATGTTGGGCAGAGGAAAGGAGATCTCCTTGAGTTCAAGGCTAGCCTAGTCTACTGATCTCCAGGTGTGTCTTCACAAGAGGTTTGCTACCTCAGCTGTAAGAAACTAATACAAGCCGGGAGGTGGTGACGATCGCCTTTAATCCCAGCACTTGGGAGGCAGAGGCAGGTGGATCTCTGTGCGTTCGAGGCTAGCTTGGTCTATAGAGCAATTTCCAGGACAGGGAATCCTTGTCTTGAAAAACCATAAACAAACAAACAAACAAACAAAAATTTAGGAGATTTCTTGCCCCACTTGCTAAGAACCCTACTTAGCTTCTGAGCCCTATCATTACACTGGAATGTGTCCCAGAAGACTCAGCTCAAAGGTTCAGAACAAGGGTGCTAGTACTCAACCATGCCATCTGACTGTACAGACCTAGTCTCAGAAACTAGCAGGGTTGAACTGGGTCAGTACTAGGATGGCAAAAGAGAGGGTGGCGAACCTCCCTGTAAGGGATTCAGAGCAAATGTTTGAGACATTTGCTCAAACATTTGTGTCATCTGTCACTGCTTAGGCTCCACTTAGCTCCGTGGTTAAGGTGGAATACAAGGTATAGCTGTACACAAAATGTAAACAAGGGCAGATGAGATGGCTCATGGGTAGTGGCACTTGCCTCCTAGCCAGATGATCTGGGTTTGATCCTTGGGATCCACAAGGTAGGAAGAGAAAACTGACTTCCACAACTGATCCACTGACCTCTACAAACGCTGTGGCACACATGTTCCCCTTCTCCTCCGCACACACAATAAGACCAAAGACATGCCAAAAAATTAAAAACTAGTATAAACTAATGAACACCACCACCTTCCTGTGCAAAGGAAGGTGTAGGTTAAGGGTTTAATGCTTCACCATGCAAGATAAAACAGTTTGTGAGATCTGCTAAGCCGTAAGAGTGTCTATAGCTAAAGATACTGTATTATATACTTAGAATTTGCTAAGAGGGCCGATGGCAACCTCACCTGTAGAAAATTAGACTAAAGATGGTGGCGATAACTCTGAGAGGTGATGGCAATGCTATTTTTTGTAAGTGTAGTATATATCCAAATTAATCGAGATATGCATAGCTTTTTATATATAAATCATGCATCAATAAGGTAGTTAGAAAAATAAGTGTAGATATTTAGTTTGAATTTTATGTACTTTTCTATATAATGAAATATTCTTTAGATTATTTTCCCTCAGCCATCAAGAAAATGTTAAAAACCTTTTCTTTTCCCTTACAAATTGGGTTTGGTTCACGGTCTATAGTTGGATGATCACGGATTAGAACACATCCCTTCGTTCCAGAGCTGGGTTTGGGTCCTGGTTTCATGCTATATTGTCTTTAGAAGAAATGTAGCTGCTCTTCAGGTCTCGGTTGTCACATCTGCAAACTGACATCTCATGGGGCTGTCAGGATGAAGGGGCACTTGGTTTATGTCATCCTAGTGCTGTGTGAGGCTCCAACTGTCACCACCATTGTCATTGACCATAACTGGCCACCCTGAAAGGTCTGGCAGGACCATTCACCCGGAAGGCAATAACCAGAATGCAGCTACCTCTTTGCAATGATGAATATTTGAGAATACAAAGCCAATACCAAACCCTAGGTTGTGTCTCCAAGAGTCCTCCTGGCCCAAGGACATGTGTTCCCTGTTGAGTTGGCTTCAAAGGAAACATTACAACATTTGACAATAGTATGGAAGAGATCGTTCAGGAGAATGACTCATGACGAAAGCACATACAACACACTTCTTGAGGAGATGGGAATTAGAAGACGCTTGCTCACCTCCCTCATTATCCTTGTTATCAGCACAGGAGGTTTCCATGGCAACGTTGCATCCGGGCCCTCTCCAGCCGGTCTGGCAGACACACTGCCAGCTGTTCTGACCCAGTGTGCATCTCCCGTTACCGTTGCACAAATCAGGGCAGCCATCTGGTTGGAGAAATGGAGAGAATGAGAAGGAGGGACATGAGGCCGCGCTGGGGAAGCAGGGGAGCCATGCAGAAGGGGAGCAAGCCTGCAGGGCAGCCACTGGGCCAGCCTCACAGTGGGGCCCATACCTGCTGTCCAAAGAGTCAGGGGAAGCAGGCCATGCATGCAGGTGCAAGAAGGAGTTGGGGCACAGATGCAGGGGTTTCCCAGTGACAACTGACCTGGGTGCAGGGGACAGAGCAATCTTGCAAGTGGGGAGGGAATTCAGTGCACATCCCAGACAACTGTACCAGTGCTGGCCTGACAACCAGACTAACTAGGCTCTGATTTTCAGTCAGTGGCTCAGGATGTGTGGTATCTTGAGAAAAGCCTGCCCATCTTCCCTCCCTCCCTTCCTTCCTTCCTTCCTTCCTTCCTTCCTTCCTTCCTTCCTTCCTTCCTTCCTTCCTTCCTTCTTTTTCTTCTTTCATCCTTCCCTCCATTTCCTTATTCTTTCTCTCCCTCTTTCACTTTGTACTTCCCTTTCTTTGTTTTAATGCCTTCTACATACAAGAAAAAAAAAATTCCTACAAGCCCAGAGTCAAAATGTCCTCCATCTTGCAGAATTTTAGAGATAGATTTACATATGATTTTCAAGAGCTTCTTGTGACCAAGAAAGAACTGGATGGCGCTGCTGGCCATTTTTTTTTTTAATTTTTGTAATAGCTTTAAGGGACACTTCCAAATGTTGGCTGCTTATCACCACCTATTTATGGTAGATTTAAAACTAGAGCAGGATTTAAAGGCCAAGGGAGGGGTAAGTACCGGATGACTGGGGACAGGACAGAGGAGATCTTGTGTCCACAGGGGAAGGGCAGTGGAGTCTACACAGTTCTGATTTCATAGCTTTCTTTTCTTTCTTTCCCTCCACCCCTTCCTTAGTGTGTGAAATCAGCAGCCTATTTTATTCCCTAAAAGCTCCAACACCCACAGCAACTGTAGCATAGACTCCCCAACCCGGAGCTCCGGCAGAGGGAGCTGGGTGAGAAGAAATGGGAAAGTGATATGGCCTGAGTCTTGCCACACCAAGCCACCACGGCCCTTTGTGAACTGGCGAGATGCAGAGGACCTGTGGCATGTGCCGACTCTTCTAAGACCTACTTGCTGGTAAGAATTTCTAGGCCTCTTCTCATTTTTCTTTCTGTGAGCAGTTTTATTGAGGCATAATCTACCTACTGTAAAATTTACCTGTTGTGCATGCACGCTGCAGTGACACCTGGGGAAGTTACGGAGTTGTGCGATTGGAGCTATATCTTCTTGCTTCACTTAAATACACTCCAATGACCATTAATTTAGCTGTCCCTGTAAGTAACTATCTGAACATCTTGAAAACTACCTCTCCTTCTGTGACCTCTTCCATTTCCAGAGCTGTTTCTCAACCACACCAATGCAGGCCTGCCTGGCATCAAAGCTCCTTCTGATGATAGTGGGAATTGGCCTGGAAGTCTGCGTCTTCCAGGGCTTTCCAAAGACCTTCACTGGCATCCCTCTTCTCTTCTTTCAAACACCCCTCACGTGGGTGCTGATAAACCTAGTTTGCCCATGTGGCAGCGGTGGGAGTTGAAGGAACTCCCAGGAAGAAAGGTCCAAGGCTCCACCATGGAGTTTGACTGCTGTAGGAAATGTCAGTCTGGGCTTGCTCCCTCCCATCCTGTGTAGCTTAGGATCACAGTGAGTAGAGTAAGCAATAGGGAAGTCCTCCCTGGGAGGTCTCTGGAGGAGGGCATCTGTGCTGAGGGGAAACAAGGAGTCTGGACAGGGGCTCTGGCTTGGTGCTAATTCTAGCAGTGTGCACACGTGCCTCACTCGGTCTCCACGCCTGCCCTTACAAAGTCCAGCTCAGGATTCTACAGCCTTCCTTACCAATGAGGTGACTGTGGCCCTGTCTGGGGAACCACTGATATCCCTCCTGATCACACCCTGAGACAGTGCTCCAGGGAATGCCTTCCTCACTTCCAGGGATGTACCATCAACACTTCTGTGGGAGCAAAATGGAGCTTGGGAGGAAAAGCCCGAGGGACATTGGATGAGTCGTCAGGGAGAAAGAGATCCTGGCCAATCTGCAGCCACCTTCTGCCTTACAGTCACCACCAGAGGAGTGTGGGGGAAGAGGTCAGAGAGAGTGCCCTACATGACAGACCTCTGAACATTGGCTTGGCATGGTTTCTGGTATATGCGCTTTGCCATTTAGCTACTCTGAGGCCTCATGTCTTACTGAAATCATGCCCAGAGTCTCAACCGAAGGCTCATTGTGTAGGAAACCCACGTCCACTACATAAAATTTAAATTTGCCAAGAGCCCCAGCATGTCAGTCAGAGATATGTGCTCAAAATATGTATGCGCCTCTATGGAATGAGGCCTCCCCCCCTACTCTTTTCATTCTGACCAACTGAAGTGAGATAAACAGGGCAGAGTAGCGAGTTTTCGCCACTTCCTACGAGGAAGATGAAAACACGAACAGTGGGGAGCTGGCAAATCTCTGAGAAGTTTCAGGGCAGCTGGGAATTAATGGACAGGACTTTGCTTTTAGCTTGAAGAGGAAAAAAAGCAGTCTTGGTAGGTGCGCGGCGTTGCTAGGCAACCCCAAGCTAGCCCTAGCGCAAGTTCATTCGGCTGGTGGCCTTCCCGAGGAGGAGGCGATTCTCCGTATTTGTAAAGAGCAAAGCCAGCTTCTGCTTAAGGAAAAACAAAACCCAGGAAGGAATTAGTCTGGAGGGTAAATGGGCATCAGGTGGCAGCTTTTCTTTCGAGAGGATGCTTTGACTGAAGTTGGAACTGGCTTATGGGCTCATACGTGGGCATCCAAGAAATCGCTGTATGGAGTCCTTCCGAGTTTCAGGCCGGCTCTCGGATTTCCTTGAGTGCCGGCCTCTAAATGACTGGTTTAGCATCCCGGAAGGCAACTCTGTTTGGGTGCTTATCTCCTCAGTTAGGAAGAACTGATGGCTGCCCGGGGCCTTCAGGCTCTATTGTGACCCTGGATCAGTGATTCTTAACACAGGATTTATAAAAGCTTTCCTTCTCTTTCTCTGGGGGACATCTGACAAGGTCTGGAGACAGTTTTGATGGTCATGTTTAGGGGTAATGACACTTGAAACCTCATGGGTAGAGCCTGGGGGGGTTCCGTTCAATATCCCAAAGGACCAGAAGAACCCCTCCCCACCCTCCAAGAATAGCACAGGTTCAAATGTCAGAAGTCCTGAGGTTGAAAACCACGGCTTTGTTAGCTCTCAGACATAGTTGTTGATTCACAGAGCCTCGCCTGACCTCAGCCCAACAGTGAGGGCTTGAACAAATAGGAGTCATTCCCACCTGTCCTTCTCAATCTCTTCCAACAGCCATGAGGAGGTAGAGGGAACCTTCCTTTCCAACACAGGGCCTCTCCTCAGGAAAAGTTTCCAAGGACACAGTAACATGGGCTGGTATTGTCACCTCCCATCCTACCCATAGCTGACACACACACATGCAGTAATCTCTACACAGACCAAAGCCCCACCACTAGACTCTTATGATGCCTGATTTTCAACCCTTAGTCCTCTCTAGCCCTGGATTCCGGCTCTGAGTTCTGCAGTCTTGTCTGTTCACCTCAAAATCGGGAGACTTCAACCTCTTTCCTTTTGTCCCCTCTAAACTGGTTCCTTGATCCACGAAGGCTCCTGAATGCATTCACTGCCAGGACCCAAGGCGGGCAGCCGCTCTCCTGCCACGGCTTTTCCCCTCTCTTGTAGCTAATTCCAATCTCCGCTGCGAAATTTGCCTTTTAACTCTGAGCTATGAAGCAATGCTACTGTTGGAGACAGCCTGGATGTGTCCCAAGAGTCCATGTTTGAAAGCTGCATCCTCAGTCTGCTGGTGGGAGATGTGTGGAACCTTCAGAAAGTGGGGCCTTGCAGGGAGGTCCTCAGGTTATTGGGAGCGCCCCCACAGAGCACAGTGCGGCCTCAGCTTTTCTGTGGGTTCCTGTTTAAGATGCTACAGAGAGGCACAGCCAATGGGGACTCTTTCTCACACTCTACATGTAGCGTTCAGACTTTCAGTCTCTTTTTAAAATAAAGGTATTTTTTTCTTGTACTAACGCAAAATGTAATGAAGAAAAAAAAAAAAAGGAATACACAGCCACACCCGTCCTTCCTTTTAAATATCTCAGAATCTGCTCCCTGTTAATTTTGGTTTGGACTCCTAATTTCGCTCCATCCTGGACACTGCCGAAAGCACAGCCACTTTCCATGGGGGAAAGTCCTTAACGTGGTTCTGAGGCCCTCCTGATCTGGTTCCCACCATACTGCCCTACCCCAGAATCACTTCCGGTCCTGGCCACTTGTAAACTGGATGACTCTCATTTCCCCAGCTCTACCCCACCCTTCATATCCCTGTCGGGCAGACGTTCATGTTTAGAAGCCCCATTTTTTCTTTCGTGTTATCCTACCTGCCCCTCTCTCATTATCGACTAGCACGTAATTGATGTGGGCTAGGCCACACAGCCGTCCTATGACCCGCTGCCAGAGTGCCGAAGATGGTGGGCTTTGCCGTTAACTACAATTTGAATGGTGTTCCTAGGACTTCTCAGCGCTAAACTGAACGGCTGTCCTGGGCGTGGCCATTGTGTTGTTCACCTGCCAGATGAGGAACCATCTCTAACTTATTTACTGCTGGATTGCAGTACTCAGTGGGTAGCTGAAGAGAACAAATGAATGAATGAATGAATGAATGAATGAAATGTCTGAGTGAAACTAGCGGGGCCTAGTAGAAATGCGATCATTTCTGAGACCTTACATATAAATCCCAAAGCACTGGAGAAAAGAAGTGGAATGAGGTCTTGTTGACAGAGCTACCAGCTAGGCAGGCTTTTTGACTTAAACAAAAGTTAGGCATTAGCAAAATAATGTCTAGGGCCCAGAAAAAAAAGGGGAGCGTAAGTGGGTTTGAAGACAGCTATAATTACCATAAAAACACTTTCCTAA